GGTCTTCCGCTAATAAGCACGATAGGGAGAGCCCTGGTATTCAGACGCTCAGAATGTGCTTCAAGTACCCTGATGACAGAGTTGCATATCGCTCAGCCACATCACAACGTGCTACCATCAATATCACTGTATGTGAAGTACGTAGAAACCTCTATGCATACCTGCTAAATAGATCTCTCCTTACTCAAGTCTGTTTGCAATGTGAGGGAAGGTTCCAATCGCTCATTTTAGCGCTGATTGTATTGTTGGGTTCCTACCCTTCTCGGTCAGTGCCATGTTGACCCAAGCTTATAGATGCCTATGCATTTTGTACAGGGGTATGTATTGTGTATGATCGCGAAATTCTGTCTCAACTGAATGGAAGGTCATTTTTCTGCTATTTTACTATGATATTCCTCCAAAAAACAGACTCTGCGCACTTCCTATCACTATACCTCCCAAAGCAATCACGCTGATACTACCACCCTACATATCTACAACCTTCAGCTTTCTATCTACCCATCTCCCAATTCTTGTGCCACCCTGTGGCCTCAGTAACGCAGGAGAGCCGCACTTCTGTCGCATCCTTCGGGCGCTTATCGCACGTGGTGCGCTATCTTATGCGGTCACTGTATCTTGTTGAACGCGTCGTCTACTATTTGCGTAGGGTTCGGAAGATACATAGAATGAAGTCGTACACCTCATTAGTCAGATGCCACATTCCCGCGGTGTCGAGATGGAAGTTACCGCGCAGCAATAGGGTCCTCGGTGCTTCAGAAGGCACCAGGTCCGCCATGTTGGCGCAGTCCGCGCTTCGCGGTCGAGAGAGGTTCAATTTATCTAACACAGCATTGGTAGAAGCTCTGTGCGTATCCTTCCGTTCATTGAGGTTTCCCATGTTTGAAAATATCTCGTGGATGCGTACGGAGCATGTCCGGCTCATGGCAGAGCGACAAATCACCACCCCAAGATTCGCCAACCTACACCACGCTTCTCCTCCGCACCTCTGGTTCTATTCTCCGTGCATAGCGGGCCGAAGACGCAGCTGAGTTCCGATGTCCCTTCTTCCGCACGTAGATACCGCCAGAGTCCACGCTGGATAATCATGATGTCCCGCGCACTCGCATTTCGTTTCCTGCACGACTCGCTGCATTAGCTGAATCGCTGATGTTCGTGAAGAGTGTTCAAGTTGAAGCCACTGCCTCGCACGAAGTTAGCCCCTATAACGCTCCTAAGGGAAGTCTCGGCGACAGAGTGACGCACCAGTGTAGGACACGATACAAACGCTGATTTCAGCGGGATATATCAAGCAACCAGGTCTGCAGACGACGAAAGAAGACTCCGCGCCCTGGGGCAAGCGGGGCGTCCTCTAGAAAGCACAAGAAAATCTGTTGACGAAAGACTCGATCACAATACAAGGTCAGAAAAGCGACATTCGTGTCGCACAGGCCCGACCAGTCAAGTCCAATCCTACCGCCTGGCCATCATCTCCCGTCTCTCACCTCACGAAATATATCGTCCACCATCCACGCCGACCACAATCTCGTGGACCAATTTACGACCTCGCCTCGAGGATGACAGGCACACACGGCCTCGTCGCCGCAAAGTAGTCCCTGATCTCCCGCTCGTAGAACCCAGGGTCCCAGTCCGCGCGCAGCCGCGCCCTGAACCGCTGCACGAGCGCAACGGTCACGACACGCATCTCCTGCAGGGCGAGCGCCTTGCCAGGGCAGTTCATCGGCCCGTGCGAGAAAGCGATGAACGCGTGCTCGTTGTGCACGAACCCGTTCTCCTTCTCCAGCTCTGTTCCATCTGCGGAGGGAGACGAGGGGAGGGGAGCGTCGGCGAGGGCGACGTGCCCCGAGGCGATCAGCCAGCGCTCGGGCCAGAACGCGTCGGGGAAGGTGAAGTTGCGCGGGTCGCGCTGGATGGACCACGGAGGGAGCCGCACGACTGTTCCTGGGGGTATGTATCTGTCCATACGTCAGCGTACAACATGGAGGGGATGGGGAGACGGGGAGTACACTGAGCCGACGGTTATGCCCCGCGCGTTGTCCGGAAGGCGGCGCGAACCCCCGCTCGCGACCGGGGGGAACAGGCGGAGGGCTTCGTATCTACACGTCTGCGCTCAGTATGGGGATATGCGACGAGAGCGCAAGCCCACGCACATCACGGCTTGCAGATAATGCATATCCCGATGATGCTTCATACTAAACGCATCCTCGCCTGTGGGGTAGAACCGATCCACTTCTTCCTGCAGCTTTGCGTATATCTCCGGGTGCGTAAGGAGACAATTGAACACGCTCGTGAGCGCGCTCGAGGTCGTGTCCGAGCCTGCAACGACGGCGAGCACGCCGTCGTCATAGAGCTGGCGTGGAGCAGGGGACGGTCTCTCTGGGAGATTCTCGTTGTTCTTCACCGGCGTCCGATCAGCGCTAGGTGGAGATTCGGAAGGAACGCGAGAGGAAGGGAGGTACTGACGAGGTAGTGGAAGAGATCGGACGTGGTCGAGCCTCGTGCGAGGCGCTTCGCCGCGGCCTTCTCCCCGTGCGCGAGGAGAGACTGCAGTGGCCATGCTGCGCCTGGAATGTGCCCAATGTACACGCCCAGCCAGGGGAGGTGCGCGAGGAACATGCCGAGTCTGACGAGCGTCGATCCGTCCGTCAGAAAGGAGAGAGGACGGTGGCAGCATGATAAGACGAATTGAAGACTTACGCCATCCCCTTCTCGAGCACAGCCCAGACGTTGTTCTTGTCCCCCTCGCGCAGCAGCTCTGACCCGCCACCAAACCTGCGCAGTCCGGAAGGGCACTCCCGTTAATCCCGCTGCGTGGGTTAACGAGAAGAACTTACGCCATGTCCGACATGAAGTCGTATCCAAACCAATTGAACCACCTCCCCAGATCCACCTCCTCGCCCTTTCTCGCGTGCTCTTCCAGTCCCTTGACGAGAAGCCGAGCACGGCGCGCAAGAACATGCTCGTACTCGCGCAGCGCGTTGGGTCCAAGGCCCCGGTTCCACGCGCGCCGCCGCCGGAGGTGTTCGTCGGTATCACGGATCGCGATTAAGGGCAGGTTGTGGTCGCGGAGCATGCCTCCGACCCAGTCTGAGCAGACATGGGTGAGGATCGTGGTGGGGAGGAGGAAATACAGATGCTCGAGGCGGTGAAGGATTCGCGTACTCACCAGTTCCTTTCGGAAGCCCGGAGGGTCCAGCGATAGCTTGGATCGCTGAGGTATCGCGAATGGAGAGCTCATTTGGACCTAAAAGCGCGATGTACGCATACACGAGGAGGGCAACGTGAGTACCTGAAACCATGCTAGTCCTTCGTGTCGCACCTATTCTGAAGACATCGCCATACACGTCGTGCAGCCGCCTCACACGTTTACTCCTGGTGCCAGTCGAGGCCACTAAGGCAGTGCAGAGCATAGAGATCTTGGCCCACCATGGGCCGGGATAGGCTGCTAAGGGGTGGAAGGGAGACAGACGATAGACGACGATGGAGAGAGCCAGGGTGGCGAGGTAAGTCGACAAGGAGGACCTGAACACATGTGCAAACTCGTCGTCAAGAGGGAGAGGGTGGGATACGAGAGATGCGGCTACGAGTGCAGGAAATCCGAGAAGGAGAGCAGCGTGTACGGGTATGGAGAAAGTCTCATAGCGGCGGAATATTTGGTGCGCAACCTAGAGCGGACGATCCAAGTCGATCAGGTATACGGTCGAGGAAACGACACAATGATCTTACAAGAGCAGAAGCGATTGCCAAAGTGGCTGTTTGCATCTGCGAGGAGGTCGCACTCATGTCGGAGGCAGTTGAAAAGCCACTTTGGAGATGTGGGTACGAGAGAAGCTACATAGAGATGACATAAGCTGCCGGTGGCCAGAGAAGGTGAAGCTGTTGACAAGTACATGTACTTCATCCGACCCTGACTCCCTAGGTCAGCACGATTGAGCACGAAAGAGCGGGACATACTTACCCTGGTGTACCAAGGAATGGAGGAAGGGACGAAATTAATGCATGCGCAAGCAGCACTTGTGCGCTTATACTGAAACCGAACCGGTTCGAACCGGTTCCAGCTATTGTTGTAGCTGTCAGGATTAGAGGCTTTTGGACTGCATTTCAATCAGCATTTGCCCTTAAGTCGCATTGTCCATTGAACAGACATGTAGCACCCCCTCAGAGCCTCTCACAGAAGCGCTTCCTAGACTGTGGCAATGGGTTAACGTGAGTTCGTTCCCCGCGAACTCAAATGAGATTTATCGCACCAACGCGACGGTATAACCAGTTCAGGCCCCTCCCCTCTCGTCTTCCGCTTCGGCCAAAGCATTGCCTGTGCGCACGCATCATGCAAGCTCCCGCCACTACCTCAAGGCAGCGCCTTCCCTGATCTGGTATCTGCCCCTAACGCTGAAATGATTGGCCCATACCGGTGACATTCCGGTGTGCACGAGAAGAGCGGACAAAATGATACGGGGAAGGCTGTGGTTCTGTTGTTGCCGTCTCTCGTCTCCGAACAACTCTTCGCACTGCGCTGAAAATAAATTATCGCCGCTATCTGCCCCTCAAAAGCCCACCAACGCGTCCCACTTGGCGAGCCCAGCGAGTCTGTGCTTCCTCTCCCTCTCATCCCCGATCAGTCGTCCAACGATGCCTGCGGGAAGCAGCCCTTCGCAAGTAATTGGGAAAGTCATTGCGCTCGGCTTGGTCCGTTCTTCTGCTTTGCTTATATATCGTGTCGCCTTGAGAACACTCAAACGCCAACCCAGATCGCGCACCAAGTCTTCCGCAAGTACGAAACCTACGACATTGCAGTCCACGGCGCATTCCTCTTTTTGCCTCCCGCCCTCCTCTCCTTGTTCTCCTCTCCGCCACAATGGACGCTCCTCCACGCCCTGCTTTTCAACTCAGCGACGTACCTTACCACACTCGTTATGTCTGTGATCGTCTACCGCCTCTCCCCTGTGCATCCTCTCGCGCGTTACCCTGGGCCGATCGGATGCAAGGTGTCGAAGTTCTGGATGGCGTTCTTATCTATGCCAGGTTACCAGCACCAGTATATCAAGTCGCTTCATGAGCGGTATGGGGATGTTGTGCGCATCGGTACGTGCGTCTCATTTCGGCTAGGAGGTTACGCGGATCCGAGGGATTTCGCAAGGTCCGTGATGCTGCATGGGTTGTTGTAACCGGGGGCCCCGGTACTATGGTGCATCCCGTGCAGATATACTCACGTCTGTCAGACACGGACCTGACTTCCATTCTTTGTCACGGTAAACCGTTGTGCCACGCGCTGAACCTGTGAAACATCTCACCCTCATGCGCTGGACACCAAGCTACGACAATTAGAGGGTGCCTCTGCAGCCCTTGAGACGCGTGACTCGGACTCGCTGCCTGCTGCTCTTCGAGCGGAACGAATCGCCATGCCTGAAATCCTCCTGACGCGTACATGGCACCGACCGCTTGCTAACCTCCTTGTCATGCACAGGCCCGAACGAGGTCTCCGTCCGCGATGCCACCGCGCTCCATGCCCTCCTCGGCCCCTCCGGTGCCCCCAAGGGTCCCCGTACGTGCCCCCCTCTCCCGCCCTACTTCTCCACTTCCCTTCCCCCACTTCGCGCTCTGACTTCCCGCGCGCATCATAGACCTCGTCGGGCGCGTCCTCTCCGAACACACGCTGCCGATGGTCGGGATCATGGACACAGACGTGCACCTCCGCCGGCGTAAGAACTGGGGCCGCGGCATGAGCCCTGCCGCGATCAAGGATTACGAGCAATTCATTGCGCTTCGGGCGCGCCAGCTCCTGGAGCGACTCGAGGGTCGCATGGGCGAGGAGGTCGTCATCGGGACTTGGTTCAACTTCTTCACGTGCGTCTCTGTGTGGGTTGGGGTGATGGGCGAATGCATGTGCTAACGTGGGAGTGACGCAGATACGACTTTATGAGCGATATGGCGTTCGGTGGGGGGACGGAGCTTATCAAGGCGGGCCATGATGAGGGGAATGTCTGGGCGTTGCTTGACGAGGCCATGTTGTGAGTACTTTTCCGTCATGTCGAAGCCACTGGTCCTTTGCAGTCCACTGTACGCTCGGTGGTACGCACAGCATCTCGACGTTCCTCGGGCATGTCCCGTGGCTGGGGGTCCACTTCGGGAAGATCCCCGCCGCGACCGGCAACCTGAACATACTACTGAACAACTGCGCCGAGTGCGTCAAGGCGCGCCTGAAGCGCGGTTCGCAGAGGAAGGATCTCTTCCACTACCTTGTAAGTCCTGGCACACCCATTGTGTGGCACATCCTCACCGTTATGCTAATGTGCGGTGCCACAGAACAATGAAGACCTTACGGACAAGGCTGCACCCCCGATGCAACAGCTCATCGATGATGGTGTGCTCGCAATCGTCGCGGGGGCGGATACGACTTCGAGCGCGCTCACGGGTCTCATGTATTTGCTCCTGACGCATCCGGACGCGTACCAGAAGCTGCAGGCAGAGATCGACAAGTTCTACCCTGCGGGAGAGAACGCGCTCGATACAAAGCACCATCGCGATATGCCGTACCTCACGGCTGTCATGTAGGTCCATCTTGCGCTCGTTGCATAAGACAGGCTAACCGGAGAGCAACGATAGAAACGAGACTCTGCGTGTCCTCCCGCCGGTGCCAGGAGGTAGCCAGCGCCAGGTCCCAGTAGGTGGTAACGGTCTCGTCGCTGGAAACATGTGAGCTCTCTGCCTCCTCTGGCCACTTTCCTCGTCAAGCTGACATGACCAACCCTTCCAGCGTCCTCCCCCCAGGCACGATCTTCTGGCCGCACATCTATTCGCACCATCACGACGCGCGCAATTTCTCTCCATACACCTCCGATTTCTGGCCCGAACGCTGGCTCCTCGCTTCTGGGGACCTTGACTCTTCGCGCGGCGTCACTGCGTCTTCTCCTGAATTCCGGCACAACGAGGCCGGTTACCTGCCGTTCTCGATCGGGCCGATGAACTGCGTGGGCAAGGCGCTTGCGCTGCAAGAGCTGCGGATGGTGGTGTGTGCGTTCTTGCAAAAGTTCAAAGTGAGAACGAAGGAGGGGTGGGATCCGAGGACGTATGAGAGGGAGTATAGGGATTACTTCACGTCGCCGAGGCCGGACTTGCCTGTAAGGCTTGAGGTGCGGTCTTGAGGGGTTGGGTAAGGCAATGGTGCGTCGGGCACCTGTATCTCTTCTGTGATGTACTGTTTCAGCAAGTGCGATATACCTTATCATTTCTTCTCAGGCAGCCTCTTCTTCAATCGCTGCCATGGCACCGGTGGCTGGGGTTGTATCGACGATCAGTGTTGCCTCACGTCAGTCATCTCTAAGACACGCCGCCTTGACCAAAAGAGCCAGTCGGCGTCGAGGTCCAGCGAACTCGATTCGAATGCATGAGTGAAAGGGGGGGGGGCAACAGCAGGATAGCTGAACGCGTGCGCCGATGGTTCCGACAGCAGTCGCGCGTGAAGTTGAGGACCGAGCATGGAGACCTTCGTCTATCATATCCCGGGATAGCCTGAGAAGGGGCGAAAGGGAGACAGACGATAGAAGACGATGGAGAGAGTCAGGGTGATGAAGCAAGCCCAGGAGGATCTCAATACGCATGCCCAGACCGGTCGTCACGATGAAGAGCGACAGGGTGGGACACGATAGATGCGGCGATTAGTGCAGAAAGTCCTAGGAGGAGAGCAGCGTGTACTAGGAGAGAACGTCTCATGGGAACGGATAGTAATAGGTCCCTCCGGATTGCCAGGTATCTCTCCCTTCTTTCGATGATCCTGGATACAGCCAAGGCGAGGAAATGACACTTTCATATGTTTGCTGTCCCACGCACTAACTCTTGTGAAGGTGGCCAGATCCAACCCCGCTGAAATCAAAGATCTCTGTGGCAAAATGAAGGACCTCGCAAATCTGGTCGATGTGGTCGCCGATGTCGTTATAAAAGGGCGGAACAGAGTTGACAAATACCCAAGTGAGGCGTGGAAAGGGACACGATGGACAGTCGTCGCCGCGGCTCGATATTATGCCAGACACACTCAAGGAGCCGAGACTCGTGGCTTCCCTCAGTTGCAGGAGTGTTTGAGGGATCGCTCACGCGTTGCGCAGTACTCCAAGGCGAGTGAAGCGATATGCGAAGATTTAGACTACGACGACTGGTTCACCCCAAGAGGGGTCAGTATTGTGGTTTGATGCATTCCATTTGATTTTTGATATGAGTGACAGGGATCGTCCTCACATAGTACTGCCAAGCCGAATCCGCGAAACCTATCCATATCCTTGCACGTTGGCCAGGACGACAACAACGAGGATGTCTCGTGCATCTCCAACAAGGTCAGTAATCTGGGTACTATACGTCGTTGCTTATATTTGAGACAGCGGCCGCTTCAAGCAGAATAGGGAACCCAAAAGTGCGAAACGTATCCTAATTTAGTAGAAGTTGCAGGCCAAGTTCAAGCAGGAAGATAGCGGAACTGACAACTTTAATGTTGCGTGCGACTGCGCCATTAAGGCTGTAACACTAATCTCGGAAGCGAGGTTGGACGTGCTGAGGGGGATGAGGAATGTCATAGCTGTTGGGTGATTTCCAAGGCTCATGTACGATCGGGGAAAGGGTTCAGGAAGCCCCGACCTAGTATGGGTATGCGCCCACGTCAGCGATGTAGGGCAGTAAGGCGCATGAGCAGGAGACAATAATGAATAGGGTCGGTGACGACTACCGGCTTTCTCTCCAGCTCCATTCGGGAGGGCCGAGGATTCGATGACAGGGGTGCTCAATATGAGAGCCCATCCAGGCCGAGCGAAAACACGAGGATGGCTCTGTCGCGGACGACTCGGGAGAGACTGATCGTGCAATAAGTGGACGTGAGATCGCCGAAAAAGGCGGAGCTGCTGACATGATCTCTGCTCCAGTCGTTTGATGTGAACATGTTCTGCACAATTGAGAGATTGGACATACCTTGGCAGTTGAGTACACCTGGTGCCACTTGTAGTGGAGAAAGCGCTATCCCGGTTCAGCACTTGCTCTGGGCGTCTGCATTCGATCCGAACCGGTTCGTCCTGTTGTTTGTGATTGTTAGGCTTAGAGGCCTTTGGCTTGAACCTTCTGTCCATCGCTCCTCCTCGACTTCGAACTGCTCATCCGCCTGTATACTCAGCTCATGAAGATACTACTATCACGCTCTGACCGGCCGCAATTGAGAAGACTGCCGGGGCATTCTAGGTACCCGGTAAGCCTCAGCTCGCTTGACATTGATTCGCAGCAACGCCCCGGGAGAATAGTATATACGCGCTTCACCTTCGGTTTTCTATATGGCGTTAGAACCCGTGCGCGCGCTATGTTGTATGTTCGCTCTCGTCATATTCTCAAGGCAGCGTCTTCTTCGATAGCTGCTGATGCCGTGTCTGCTCAACACGCTGACTCAATTGACCGATAGCGACATTTGAGTGCGCATGAGAAGAGCGGACGGAAACATGAGCCCAGATCGCCTGTTAATGACCTCTCATCAAGATCTACGTCTCGCCTAGACTCCGCGTAACGCAAGAGCGGCACCTGGGAAAGTGATGCGGGAAAGCTTTTGGACCTCTGTTGCCGTCGCCGCCCATATCTACGCCTCAAAAACCAGCGAACGCGGTCTCACAGGCCAACCTGAGTACGTTCTTCCTCCATATTTCATCTCTGGGTGGCCCTCCAACAATGGCAGGCAGCAGCACGCCTTCGCAAACAATTGGGACAGCCGTTGCGCTCGGTTTGGTGTGTCCTCTCTTCTACGAATTCTACCCGACGTTCAGCTTGTAACTGCGAACACAGATCGCGCACCAAGTCTTCCGCAAGTACGAAACCTACAACATCGCGGTTCACGGCGCACTCCTCTTTTTGCCTCCCGTCCTCCTATCCTTCTTCGCATCTCCGCCACAATGGACGCTCCTCCACGCTCTCTTTGTCAACTTGGCGACGTACCTGACCACACTTGTTTCGTCTGTGATCGTATACCGCCTCTCCCCTTTGCATCCTCTCGCGCGTTACCCTGGACCGATCGGATGCAAGATATCAAAGTTCTGGATGGGGTTCTTATGTATACCGGGTTATCAGCACCAGTATATCAAGTCGCTTCATGAGCGGTATGGGGATGTTGTGCGCATCGGTACGTGCGTCTCACTTTGGTCAGGAGGTTACGCAGATTCCTGTTCGAGCGTGGGATGTCGCAAGGTCCCTAACACTGCACGGGTTGTAAAATGGGGTCCGGGTACGATGATTCATTCCACGCAGACATACTCGCGCTTGTCTGGTTTGGTTGCAAATTCCATTCTTCGCCACAAGAAGCCTGTGAAACCTCTCCCCTTTTCGTGCTGGACGCTCAACTACGACAATGAGAGAGCGCCTCGTGCAGCCTTCAAGACGCGTCTCTCGCTGTCTGCCACTCTCCGAGCGAAATGAATCGCCATACTCTCAATCATTATGATGCATACACGTCACCGACTATCGCTAACCTCCTTGTCATGCCCAGGCCCAAACGAGGTTTCCATCCGCGACGCCACCGCGCTGAACGCCCTCCTCGGCCCATCCGGTGCCCCCAAGGGTCCTCGTACGTGCCTCCCTCTTCCGCCCTACTTCTCCACCTCCATTCTCCCGCTTCGCGCTCTGACCTCCCGCGCGTATCGTAGACTTCGTCGGGCGCGTCCTCTCCGAACACACGCTGCCGATGGTCGGGATCATGGACACGGACGTGCACCTCCGCCGGCGCAAGAACTGGACCCGCGGCATGAGCCCTGCCGCGATCAAGGAGTACGAGCACTTCATCGCGCGCCGCGTGCGCCAGCTCCTGGAGCGCCTTGAAGGCCGCGCGGGCGAGGAGGTCGTCATCGGTACTTGGTTTAACTTCTTCACGTGCGTATCTGTGCGAACTTCGTCCTATGAATGTCGGCGGAGGGTGGGGGCATGTGCTTACCCGATAGTGGTGCAGGTACGATTTCATGAGCGATATGGCGTTCGGTGGCGGGACGGAGCTCATCGAGGCGGGCCATGACGAAGGGAATGTCTGGGTGCTGCTTGATGAGGCCATGTTGTGGGTACCTTTTCTTCGTGTCGTTGTCAGTGGTCCTCTGCAGTCTCGCGGACGTTAAGCGCTATGGACAGCATCGCGACGTTCTTCGGCCATGTCCCGTGGCTAGGGGTCTACATCGGAAAGATCCCCGCCGCGACAGGCAACCTGATTGTACTACTGAACAATTGCGCCGAGCGCGTTAAGGCGCGTCTGAAGCGCGGTTCGGAGAAGAAGGACCTCTTTCACTACCTGGTGAGTCTCAGCACACGCATTCCTTGGCATGTCGCTATCCTCACGTGCTGCGCAATAGAACAACGAAGACCTCCCGGACAAGGCTGCACCCCCGATGCAGCAGATCATCGACGATGGCGTGCTCGCCATCATCGCGGGGGCGGATACGACCTCGAGCGCGCTCACCAGCCTCACGTATCTGCTCCTGACGCATCCAGACGCGTACGAGAAGCTTCAAGCGGAGATCGACAAGTTCTACCCTGCAGGCGAGAACGCGCTCGATACAAAGCACCATCGCGAAATGCCGTACCTCACGGCTGTCATGTATGTCCTTCGTGCGCTCGCTGCATAAGACAGGCTGACCGAAGGCGACCGTTTAGAAATGAGACTATGCGTGTCCTCCCGCCGGTGCCAGGAGGTAGCCAGCGCCAGGTCCCAGTAGGTGGTAACGGTCTCGTCGCTGGAAACATGTGAGCTCTCTGCCTCCTCTGGCCACTTTCCTCGTCAAGCTGACATGACCAACCCTTCCAGCGTCCTCCCCCCAGGCACGATCTTCTGGCCACACATCTATTCGCACCATCACGACGCGCGCAATTTCTCTCCCTACACCTCCGATTTCTGGCCCGAACGCTGGCTCCTCGCTTCTGGGGACCTTGACTCTTCGCGCGGCGTCACTGCGTCTTCTCCTGAATTCCGGCACAACGAGGCCGGCTACCTGCCGTTCTCGATCGGGCCGATGAACTGCGTGGGCAAGGCGCTTGCGCTGCAAGAGCTGCGGATGGTGGTGTGTGCGTTCTTGCAAAAGTTCAGAGTGAGAATGAAGGAGGGGTGGGATCCGAGGACGTATGAGAGGGAGTATAGAGATTACTTCACGTCGCCGAGGCCAGACCTGCCGGTGAGGCTCGAGGTGCGGTCGTGAAGGGTTAGGGTAGGCAATGGTACGTTTGATTGGTGCTGTTGTAGCAAGTGCGATACACCTTATGTATGTATCTCAGGCAGCATCTCCGCCAATCATTCAATGGCTCGGGTTCTATCGCTAAACAGAGTTGTCTTACGTTCAATGGCCACTTACCTGCGTGGTCAGAGCACATTGCGGTGCTACGCTTGTTGCATGAGAAGAGGGGAGGTATCAGAATTTATGGACGGGCAAGGGGAAGACAAGTCTACTCGTTCAGCTCGGCTTTTCGACGCCGGAAGTCAGTCGGACGGGAGCTGTTCGCACTTGATGAATGCTTCTACGAACCTTCTATTGAACTCTAACGCAATGCTTCGTGAGACACGGTGTCTATGAAAGGCGCAGGAGTCCTCAGGTGATAGGGCTGGTATAAAGGTAGATAAATGACCAGTGCCCGGTCCCCACCGTTCCTGACTCCGTTTCGTGACTATGAGCGGCGCGCCAGCCTCAAGCGATCCTGTATCGCGGCGCTTTGCGGTCCACTCGGTGGAGTCCAAGCTTGCTCTCGTTGCAATCGAGACGGTATTGCTTGGTGAATGGTTTGTGTGGGGTCACTTCGCTGGGTTGATTAGCTGATGTGTTGTCTGCAGGCGTCCTCACCTGGTTCTTCCTCCGTTGCCTCGTGGCTCTATTCATGTGAGTTCCCTTCGGCCAATCTGCGTCTGAGATTGCGTCCGACATGCGTTCATGTCACATTCACCCCACCCCAGATGGCAGAAGCATCTGGGATCTTGGTTATCCCAAACAGCCGGGAAGATGCTCATCATCCCCTACGGAGTGACGTGGCTGTACGTCATCACCAACTTGCTTGGCGTGAGAGCGTACATCTTGGAGGCCATATCGGCAGGACCAGGTTCGCTACTATCGCCACCAGCCAGCACCGAACCCGATGATGCAGATGGGAGCCTGCAGCGCTTCTTTTTCTTATCCCAATGCGTGGGGTCGGTGACACTCACTTTGAATGTCAAGCTGTTTGGCCTAGTCTCGCCTTCGTCGTTTTCTAATCTGGGGGGTTCTCAAATCACAGACACTCCTGTTCAATGGCGTGACTTGTTGGAGGGCTTGTATGCTCTGGGGCTTGGGAAGGCCGAGAACCATGGTCGGCTCTATGCTGAGCGTTATTTCAGGTGCAGCACTAGGTCGGTGCTAGTCCGTGCTTTCACTTAGTCTCGGTCCTCACGATCTCCTCCTATACTGTCAGTCTTAGGCATCATCGATTTCGTTTGGGCTTGCCAACCCCGGAACAACTTCGATACAATCACAATTGGCTCCGCAAATCTATACCGAGGGTACCCAGCTGCACGAGTCGCGGTTTTTGCCCCGCTCATCTTCAATGTCGCTGTAACCTTATTGTTCGCATATAGGGCTTGGTACGTGTTGGGGCAGACATGATGCATATTGTCGACTCAAGTACACTCACCTAGGCAAGCGCGAGATCTGGTAATCAAGTATATTAGTCAAGGACATGGCTTCGCCAAGACGGAGAAGGTGCTATTTCTCATCGTGGAGTCCAATGCTCTGTGGTGTATATTTTCGGTAAGTCGGAGTTGGATGCTGCATCAACTACGCTCATACAAGTCCTTGGACAATCCGGTACCCCCTACTGTATAGGGCATCATCGCCTTGTGGGAAGGAAAGATCAACAGCCCTTCACTCGCACAGAACAGCTCGCTCGATAGCTTTTGGGCGTTCTTCTCTGTGATCGTCGACGGTGCACTAGTCCCGCTTCTGGTATCTTACCCCGTTCAGCTCTACACATGTCTCTCTTCTCAGGTCCTTACTGCGTCCATACAGGCAATCCATATAACCTTTCTTATTCTCCTCGGCATCTCGGGCAAGTCAACGTTCTTCAGCAAGGGCATTGTCCCCGTCCCGGCCAGCCGACTACCCAAAGCTCCGAAGACGTGATGAAAAGGAAGACAGTGCGTGGTGTACCGTTTGAAGGCGCAGGCTAGTTAGTTTCCTTTACGGATATGCTATGCGGATTCTTCAAGTTTCGTAGCTAGAATGAAATGTCGGCATATCTGGGTGTCGAAGACAGCTCAACACAAGCATCATGCGAAGGCTGTTCTCAAGCCAACCTCAGCTATCGTATGTCAAAGTCCTTCTTTGTACTGGGTAGATACCCAATCGAAGGCTTCACTAATCATCAGTCACGTTGTTTGACTTTCCATCTATTGTGAAGAACTCCTGTTCGAAGCCGGAAACTAGCCTATATAGCTTACCCAGCTGTTTGGTACTGACTCTTGTCTGTACGAAAAATTCGTGGACTCCTCGACATATGCTCCGGACGTTATCAGACGCTGCCTCAAACCAGACAGTTCCCTGCAATAACCGAGTCTCGTCTCTTGATAGCGCGTGCTACATCGTGGTTCCGATACAAAATGATGAACACGGACGAAGCTCCAGACTGCGTTGAGCTCTATCGTGATATGTCAGCCCTTCACCGCCAAGGTTACAGGCGCAATCGTAGTAGAACTCTTTGTCCGTTTCTGCGTGTATTCAAACCATTGCTGAGACGTCGTCATCTGCGAGGTATGCTAGCTTGTGATCGCCATCAACATCATGTGGGAGCTTTCCTTCACCAGAAGTCAGTGGGGGGCTCTCGAGGTCACTATGTGAAGTCACAGTCGTGTTCACAACAACCGTTAGTGGATCAGGTCCAGGTAGGTCGCCTTTCATGTTTTTGTCTACTGGTGACTTGTTCAACGCGACCACCACAATGATAATGGTTGGGTAGATTGCCTGCAGAGAGTACTCCGGGTCAGTTTGTCTGGGCATGGAAGCTGAAGACATGGAATTTACGATAAGTGGGACAAGGCAACCTTCAATCAAAACTCCACCGACAGTCCAGAACGAGGGTCTAGGTGGCTCTTTCTTCAAAGACGCCATTACTGAATTCTTGATGAAACGGTTGTCAATCCCAACTTGCCAAACCACGACAACGATCTGCGATTGTGAATTAGAATCAGCGCTATGGGAGCCCCAATCACAGAACACGAACCCATAAAGCGCAATAAAGAGCGCCAGACTCTACCAATAGGGCGAGTACACTTTCCACTTGACTGGTTCTAGAGCCCTTTGCCATAAGTCGGTGAAATGCCTTACGACATACCCTATCTCAAGCTTGCGTGAGATCTTGAACGTAGTGATTGGTTCTGATAGTATAGGTCAGCGCACCAAGCTTTGTATGCAGTAAGGATCGTGGCGGCAAGATTGGTTGAAAGGGACAAGATCGAGGCAGCGTTCCCGACGAACAAGCCTTCATACATGAATCCACCTTCTGCCTTGCAAGAAAAATGCGTGTCCGAAACTCCCATGGCTGCCAGTGTAATGAAATTCAGATAATTGTTACTGGTGTAATTATTGAAACCTGCGGTGACCGCTCACCGAGTGTAGCCAACAGGAGAATAGCACCCCATGCTTTCACCAAGCGATTCTCAGGCCAAAGCACCCAAGTTCGCCACCATACGACGAGATCGCTCAGAATGATCTAGAGGTCACTTCAGTTCAAGCAGGTAATTCTGATTATGGACACATTCCTATCGTACATTGATTGTCAGCGTGGCAGTCCCTACGCACTGCTCCACGAGAAACGCCGTCCACAAGGCATCCACGCTTTTGTTCGGATGTGCAAGCAAACTACCGAAACGTTGCAAGACGACGATTGACCAATGTGTCGTTGTGGAAATCAAGAGAGTTGATACTGCGAACAGTTGGATGGCTGACAACGGTCTATGCGCCCCACGTCGACTACCAAACGGTTACCCCGAACTTCGCTCATCGATAAATTGTGACTCACATGAGGAGATAGACAGAGACTACAGCTAGTGCAACGAAAAGTCCTAGCATATGCATCACATCGTGAAGTCAGATTCGACCCAACACATCAAGGTCAGACCAAGAATCCCACCATATAGGACGGCGAAAGAAGTTGAAATGACGACGGCCGTCCAGAGTAAGTCAGGAAAGTACCGCGCAGCGGCCGTGTGGCCATCCGCATTGCCAATAGGGTCCATAGTAAGGGTGTGCCAGCACAGCTAAGAAACGGGAAGAAGCGGAGAAGGGGCTGGAGCAATGTATAGAGAGCACACAGCTGCCTTGACTCTTAAGGATACCCCAAGATCATTTAGCAACAGTAATCAATGTCAATAAGCAGTCGAAGACATATGACAGCAATTCCGGGAATGTTATGCACCCTGACACGTTCTGATTAATGCGTCTTTGAGTGCTTGTCGACAAGAAGCTTCCTGTACTGGCGGCTGAATTCAATTCTCCCTCAACACTGCATTGGATAGATACGCTAATAAGGAAAGAGGGGATGCTTCAAGCAGCTGTCAGTGCCCCAGGTCTGCGACGTCTGTCATGGTCAATATGGCAACCCATGAGCAATGCATGCAAGAGATTCAAGGTGTCGGTCACTACCATCGAGGACAGGTTTTCCATCGGAGCGAAGCGATCTTGTCCAGCCAGAGTCCTACAAGGTATGGTTGGGAAGGAGCAAGCCAGGATCAACATCACGATGGCTCACGGAACTTGTCAGATGGTAGCATCTTAGATTGCCGCTCGTGTTGCGACGCATCGACAAAGAAATTTAGAAGTGTATTCTCATACTTGGCATTGTTATGTGCCGAGATGGACATTATTGACCGCAGTGACAAGACTTGGACTAGCGAGGTAAACCTCGATTGCGGATTAGTGAAATACCCTTCATTCCTGCAGACAAAGACTTGTTCTGAGACAACGGCCTATCATTATCCTACATACACGACGGCTTCAGGATACACTCAGCGAAGATTTCGGATGAACTTGATGAAAAACCCTCTCTCGTATGCAAAATCGAGTAGTCATCGCATCATGCCCTATCTGGTTCATCTCAATGTCAGAGTTACTGGCAGAGGTCGCCGTCCGGAAGTGACAAACGTCTTCATGTTCTTCAAATACTCCTGGGAATCCCATCCATGCCGCGTCCGAACGTCGAACTTCTGCAAAAGAGCACACGTAACAGTACGGATCTCCAGTAGAGCGAGACCTTTTCCGACACAGCCAATGGGTCCTCCCCCAAACGGGCAGAACGCAGTGTCATTGTGTACGAACTCCACCGGGATATGCGAGCCCGTGCTTCCTGTGGGAAGCCGAGCATCTTCTAGTTTTGTGTGGCCGGACGCAATGAGCCATCGTTCCGGCCAGAAGGTGTCGGGTAAGGTAAAGCTGCGCGGGTCGCGGTGGTAGGTGTAGGGTGATAACCATATGACTGTACCGGGGGGGATGTGGCTGTCAACACAACATGTTTAGAGACTGTAGGTAAGAATCGTTGAAGCGTAGTGATTTACAGGTTATTCACAATGACAGGGGGCCCATTTGGGAGTACTTGACGTTGGCCGCCCATGGGATTCGGGGGAAAGACGCGAAGGGTCTCATTGCTATGCAGGAGACTGTCAATAGCCAGGCTACACGTCGACTATTGTGAAGTGCGCACATCACGGCTTGCAAATACGTCATATCGCGATGATACTTCGGATTGAATCCATCTTCTTCGGGAGGATAAAACTTGTCCACCTCTCCTTGCAGCGCGGTGTAAACATCCGGATGAGTGAGAAGGAAGTAGAATAGATTTGTCAGGGTGATTGCAGTGGTGTCTGTACCGCCCACGATAGCCAAGACTCCGTCGTCAATGAGATGATTGGGCGGCGGCGGCTGTACGTTGGGAAGATCCTCGTTGTTCTAATATAGTAGTAAGTGGAAAACCAATTCTGCAGAGGGTGTGCTAAAGGGGGTACCAAGTAATAGAATAGGTCGCGGGTTGTTGATCCACGCTTGACACGTTGAGCAGTGAATTCGCTCGAACGGGACTGCAACGCTCGTAGTGCACGACCTGCACCGGGGATGTACCCTACGTATACCCCCAGCCAAGGAAGACGAGAAAAGACTACAACAATTCTGAAGTGCTCTTAGCCTAGGAGCTGACAAGAGATCTTTGAACGGGATCGACATACTGCAAGCTCTTCCCTAGCATGGACCAAGGGTTACTACGTTCGCCATTCCGAAGAAGTTCCGTGCCTCCACCAAATCTGAATACAAAAACCCTCAGCAGGGAAACAACTCCAGTATCCAGTATAATGCTAGAGTGCGACGTACGCCATGTCTGACATGAAGTCGAAGCTGGCGGAGAAAGGGTCGTCAGTCTTAGAGTGATAGCGATTGAATTTGCGAGGCTTACACAAAGTAGTGGAACCATTGGTCTAGCGAGACCTCTTCTTTATTTTCTTCGAATCGTTCCATCAGTTGCTGGCCTCGTTTGGCGATGATATGTTCATATTCCTTGAGCGCGACTGGACCCATCCCGCGCGTCCACGGGCGCCGTCTGCGCTGGTGTTCATCTGGATTCTGAATACCGACCATAGGCTGTCTCGTCCTAGATAGGGATGTTCCAATGAATCCTGTCGGAGCAAGTCATGGATCAACCTTCGACATGGACTCTGCAAAGGGTGATATCCTACTCACCCGGGCCTCGCGGCACACTCCAAAGAGCTGCCAGAACAGTGGGATCACGGATATGCAGCTCGTTCGGGCCTATGAGAGACATGGTCAGTTTGAAGAAGCTGCTTATATCTATAAGCAGGAGGGTCTCACCTGTACGAACGATATCCCCATACTGGTCATGAAGGCTCCGAACATCTTGAGGAATTCGCCCGTTCGTCGCGGAGTATGCCGGCCCGATCATTGAGATACGGCGCCATAGCGGTCCCGGGAACTTGCATAAGGGATGGACAGGAGACAAACGATAGATCAGAGTAGACAGGATCACTGTGGCGAGGTGAATAGCTGCCGAAAAGCCGAATGTATAGAGTGCATTCGACCCGCGTTGGAAAGGCAGAGAACGGTACCATGTGACTAGCGCGGGTGGGCCAATCAGCAAAATCGCATGCGCAGCGGGCGAGTACGGATTGCATATGCGAAACAGCTGAGATACAACCTGGCAACTATTTCAGATTATGAACGAGTATGAATGATGAAACGTACGATGGACAGAGGTATGACAAGCCTTGCATTGTATCCCCAATCGAAAGGCAGAGCTGCACCAGAGATGCTCTCCACCATATTACGAGCCGCCACTGTCAGATTCAAGCGGGAAGACGGAGTACAGATACCAAAACTACCCAGAGCGATCTAGTGCACTCGCAACAGCAAGTGGAAAGGCTCTACTTGTAGTATCCGAATTGTGCAGCTAAGGGGTTATATGTAGTGCGGCGATGTGGGGGGAGCGCTGATAGGGTGCCAGGGTGCTGTCGCATGCACGTGTGAGACCGTGCGAGGCCGTGGCTGGGCAGCGCACATCTTCTGTTCATCATGTGTCAGTCGAGAAGCAGCCTGAGTTCTCCCGAGCAAACCGTGTCAAGCTTCTTCCCCGAGCTCGAGTAAACATTTGCTACTCTGAAGCTCAAAAGTGGTACGCTTACTATATGGATGCGGAGAGCGTCTGGCAGGTCGCTGCAGAAAGTATCGAAGCCCGTAGAGCCGCCTATGCTTTTGGTTGAGATGCGAGAACAGGTTTGAGGTCCATTGGCCCAGGTACAATCAGTATCTTCTTCCGAGTCGGAAGAAGTGGTCGTACCTTTCAAACGCACGTCATGAATGCCCGACAGTTTGGCCGGTGTGAATTTCTCGCCCAATGTGCTTTATACAAATGATATAGTGCATTGGGTAGGCAAGACCAATTTGTCGGTGACATGGATTAGTATGCCGATATTACGGACTCGAGCTATGGCCGAATCAGCAATGGGTGCAGTTCTCGTTATACCGATTCAGATCAAAACCCTTCTCGTAGAAGTGATGAAGGCCCTGAGGAGCGTCTATACCGCTCACACCGAGCTTGCAGAGTAAGTTCGCCAGCAGACCCTTGGCAAGACCTTACATGAAGTCAGAATGAACTGGGGATGGACAGCACCGCACACACACTGTTCGCGCGGCGATAGGGCAACGAGGGTACAAGTAGAACCGCAAAGTGAGAGGAGGTTCGCATGTATCGTGGACTCCCAACTTGTACTACACCAATCCACTTAAGGGAGGTTCGTCGCTCCGTCAAACAGCACGTTGAGCCACGCGGCAAGACGGAAGCCTTGCTTCGCGAGCTGCAGATCGATCTGCGACTCCGAGTAAGCACATACTCCACGAATTCTCACTCCTAGTGCCGAACATGAGAAGACAGAGGACGTACCACGGGTACCGCGTCATTGAAGTACACCCCACTGCACAGGTCCTCCCCAGTAGTGAAGTTGAATACCACCGTCTACGAGTACGAGCCAAGCGTTGCACGGTTAGGACACATGCACCTTCGCCCCACGATGACGCAGGGAGACACTCACACAATCAAAGGCGTTGCTCTCCCGAGCCCACTCGATCGGGCATTCGAGTGGTGTGATCCCCTCTCCCTCCTGGCTACGAAGAAACTCCGTCAGGTCCCGCTCGAGCTGAGCGCCCGGCCTAGTCTCGAGCGAGCGCGAGTTGAGCGGCTCCGTCGTCGACGAGCACGCGAGCCAGGACGCCGCGAGGGACGCGAACGAGCCATTCTACGCGCAATTGATTTGTAGAGCACGAGTGCTTGAGCATTTGTATGCGGGAAGTAAGAGACGTCGAAGAGGGCACACCTTGATCTCAGCGACGAGGTCGTTCGCGTACTGTTGAGGGGTGCCGCCGTGCATCTGGTCGATATGCTTTGTGACCATGCCCGTATCTGCAGACGTGAGCGCTTCAGCAAGAGCAAGTGAACGAGCCAGACTCGGACACGTACCCCAAGCGGCGTGGAGGTTGTCCGAGGACTCGCCTGAGCATACAGCGCTGATCCCGTTCCCTCCCTCTTCGAGGGCCTGCAATGCACTTTATCAGAGCGTACACATAGGCAGTAAGGGCATGAAGATCCACCTCGACGTGCAAAGGCTGTCCGATGTCGCCGACGAACTGGAAGGGTGGGAATATGCGCGTCAATGCCTATCGCTGAGGAGGCGAGGCATGATTATCCACCTACGTGGTCTTATTACAACGCAACCCGTCAGCGTCCATAATGGGCATCGCTCGTAAGGAGGGTACACGTACCAATGAACAAGAGCGCCTCCAGAGTCTGCTCAGCAGCGAGGCTTGGGTTGACGACGCGCGCGGTATAGTTCGCGATCGCCGCCACTTCTCGTCCGCATCGGCACACGGATAAGGTGCTATCAGCATCATCGACGAGCGTCGGCGTGAACGCTAGGCATCGATCCACTCACAGATGCATATCTGATCCGCGCAGTCGCGTTCCTCCTCGACCGAGCACTGGCCCGTTAACGGCGAGTCTGCAGGGCGATGCGTCAGAGGCCGATTGCGCCTCTAAGCCATTGCTGACAGGGCGGTGCGACTCCGGGGCGTACCTTGGGCATCGACGAAATGCAGGTCCGCGGACCACTTGAACGCCTGCTCGCCCTTAACTTGATCTGCCCACTATAATACGAGAGCGCATATGCTCAGCTAGCGAGACCACTGAGAAGGAGAAGCGAACAGAACACACGATCGCTGCGGGGCCCAGCGAGAAGTTCCACGTCGCGTTGAGGGTGGAGTGCACGAACGTTGCTGCTTTGGGCGCGAGGAACTAAGCGGGTGACGGTGGCGTGCATGCACATCAGACTGCGCCGTGATTGTGTCTCGAGAGTGTAGAAGGCTCACCTGTTCGGCGACGAAGCTGCCGGTTGGCAGAACAAAGCGAGTCAAGCTCTGCGTTAGCCGTCACGTTTCAGATCTTAGACGCAAAGGAATGCACAGTACCCGATCGTCTCGTGCCCGAGGTTGCCCCAAGCATGGGCAGACAGAGCAGCGCTGAAGATGGTAGTGAAAGCAGCGAGAGGGGCCATTGTGTCGGTGTTGTCCGGCGAAAGACTGCGCTCAACTTGCTCTTCGGTGATGGGTTTTAGCGAGATGGGCGAGACTACATGAATAGACTGCATCCCGATGACATGAAGTGCTAAAAGTAGCTATCAATCAATCATGCATGGTTTCATGGGAACTTTCGCGCGGGAGCAGCGTTGTCCTGCACACGTTCGAGAGCACGTCGTGAACAAACAGCCAAAAACGGGGCCTCGTCGTGCATCCCGGATGTCCTGGGTGAACATGGAAACCGGTTGGAAGCCGGAGAGAAAAGAAGGAAGTCCGAGGAGAGTGGAGGAAGTCGGGGAGAGATGTAAGAAGTCGGACATACTGTGTTATACTTGCAAGATCCTCCCAGGCTCAACGACGTGCTGGGGCATGCGGACGCCTCGGCGCCAGTCCATGGCAAATGAGCTGTCAGGATGCGCAAGAGGTGAAGCTGCAAAAGTATGAGTGGATACTCGACAAGCTCAGGTCATTCGCCTTCATAGTCATCACAAATGCTTCGTACACCAACATGTCGTGCAATACAGCACCAAAAGAGACATACCTGGAGCTTCAACATTAGATGGCTGGCCTAGGGTCACGGTATCCTCATGGTTCTCGACATGGTACAGGAGCAGTGGAGAAGTATAGGGACGGCACTATTCTTAGTGGAGAGAGGGGAGAGCGGAGTGCAGCTGGAAAGCATGCAGAATGCACCAGGAGAAGTGCCTGAAGCGCGAGTGATCGGAGAGCAAAAGTGCCGCCGGTTTCTTCTGCGCGTACAGATTTGAGAGACGTGCGGGCTACGACAAGGCACAGTACTGCTGACACGTACCTGGGCCTTGAGTACCCCAGTCCTCCCCAACTTTGATCGATTGGCACGAGCGAGGTGCACTGTCGACACGACAGGAACACAGCAGACAGGCGTGGGGATGAGGCCTCATATTGGGAGGAATGGAGCAGAGGATATGTCAAGACATATGGTAAGGACACACAGCATAGACTCGGACCATGAGGCTGGGAGAGTAGAGCAGACGACGGAAATTTTCAACTTGTGAGCTGTCTAGATGCTTGCCGCTGCCTGACTCTGAGTAGATAATCTTCTTTCTTGATGAACGGTTCTCCAGAATACGCCAATGCCGACATTCCAACGAGAGTGAGTAAAGTGTATGGAAGAGAGAGAACTATGGCCGCCGCCGAATACAATCGCAAAATGCGACCGGATCACAGGCGCTCACCTGATTCATCTGGGGCGCCTGACTCGCGGGCCACTGGGCGTCCAGCCGCATGTGTGCCTTCGTCCTGCGGTCGTCCGAGTCACCCTACCCCCAGGTGTCTAGTACGTTCTCGACATACAATGTCAAATGGTGTATCCTGGTGCCTTATACTCTGTGGTTTGTGCCCTCGAAGAGACTATCTCAAAGCCAACTCGCAGAGCCACCCTCATGAGTCGTAACCCCTACTGGCCGAGAGTCGCGCTCCAGCCTAGCGCGACAAACAACAGCCTGTTCAGTGTCTGGGTTCAATAAGCGGTGAGTGATTCACTGATTTCTCAATATCATAGGGGGTATACCGAGTATACTAGAGCACACGGTGGACCACGTTGAGAAGTAGGGATTCTACCACTGCTGGATCCATGGACGGGACAAAGTGACCCATGAGGCAGTCGCCCAGGGTTGCATGCCCTGGCTTCCTCGCTCATGATGCAGGCGGTGGGCAGGCGGCAGAGTCGAATCGCTAATTCCCGGCTCATCAGTTGGCCGCGCCGCCGCTTACAAGACAACCATTACAGTTCCACCACCCACGATGGTACTCCTGCGGTACAGGCTGTGACCTGCGCCGTACGTCCACATCAGTCTATTGAACAAGGTTCCGATTCGACCCCTTTAGTACCTCAGTACCACGGACTCGCCAACCTGATATTCTCACGACTGACAGCCACACGACAGCCTAGGCCTCACAATCACGATTTGTGCAGCATCACATCGTGGCACTGGTTGCGAAGAGCCTTCGGTATAGCTTCTAATTGCCACTAGTAGGCTCAATCCCTTACCCTGTGACACGGAGTGGATATAGTCGGTATGGCCTTTCGCCGTTGCGGACGGGCTCGCACCTTGTGCCTTTGACATCGGAAAGTGCCCGGCCATGTATCATGACATGCGAAGCGCTATATAGGTACCTCCAAATTTGTTGTACTGCAATACTGAGCACGCTGCCCTTCAGACCGCTGAGATGCTCCAGAACCGGACTGATCTGAGCGCCAACAGCGATGGCTACGCGCTCCATATTGCGACCTTCTACTCATCGCGGCTCAACAAAAAATTGCTGGAAGCTGCTTTGTCGGCCTTTCTTTTCGGTGCGTTCATCACAATCCGACTCTTGTCTCAGTCTGACGTGTCCACAGGTGTTCTCAATCTTCTCACGGGAGCAGCCATGTACTGTCTTATGTCCGCGCTCTTTGCCCTCCGTTACCTCCACCACTGCATGCTGATCACATCACATTGAACAGTCGCCGAGGGATGCACAATCTTGCTCCGAAACTACTGATCGGCTGTGCACTGCTCCTCTACTTGTCTACGGCGATGTACTGGGCGTCCATCATGCAAAGCATTGCCGGCGACAATGCATTCTTAGATCTGGCGACTAAGACCCTGGTGTCAGATTCGGTCTTACCAAGCAGCATGAGTCGTACTGTAGCCTTGCAAAAGAATAATTTGGTCATCAACATCGCGCTTATCATTAACGTGAGTTGCCGTCTTCTGTCCTATTTATCTGATTATCGATACCTGCCAAGAACATCATCGGGGACGCCATTGTCTGGTGGCGAGTATGGATCATCTGGCGCCAAAGTCCAGTCCGCTATGTCGGCCCCATCCTCATTTCCGCTACTCTTGGTAGGCTCTCCTACTACTTGTATTCAGAGGGAACTCATTTGTTTCAATGAGTAGCATTGGCTATTGCGGCGAACCTCCCAGGCTCAAGTACAACACTTCGAGGGGGGTACTACGTGGTGAATGTGTGGGACCTGCTTGCTGCCGCTTCGTCTTTCGCTATGAATGCCATAGCAGTCTCTCTCATCGGGTATCGAACATGGTAGGGAAATGAGTGTGCTTTGAGATTGCGACATTGATAGGACGCCCTGCAGGAGACACAAACAGCGTTTGTCTCAGAACAAAAACCTCAAGAACTCGTCTCATGCGCTCAGGGTGCTCATGCTTCTGGTCGAGTCGGGTTCTGTCTACTGCGCAATCTGTGTGAGTAGCATGCCCAATATCAAACGTATTCGCGATATTTTGATTCTGTTACAGGGACTTGTGGTGGTCTTCGTAGGGATATCACTTACGCATACAAACGCACTTACCTCGCCATTTATGAATACTGTGGCACATATCTACTACGGCTGCCTAGGACCTCTAGTGGTGAGCTTCATCAACGCTTCGTGGATGCCAAGACAAACCGCTGATGCCGAGTCAGGCCATATATCCTATGTCAATCATCGTGCTGGTTGCAGTAAGAAAGTCGAGGATGGAGAACAGCCTCCAGAACAATTTGCCAGACTACGTACGTGCCCGACAATTGAATCTATGGCTACGATATAACTAGCTGCCAGCAGAACGTCGACATTACGCTCATGCTTTCGCAGTCCGCAATAGGCGAGAAGTTTGGGACCTCTGAAGGTGATCTTACATATGCGCCACCTATAAGTAGCATAGCGAGTGAACAAACATCCCAACGATGAGAGTTCCAAGTAGTGGCCATGAATATGTAATAATAAGGATGAGGTTGAAGATCTCGAACTACTGGCTAGCATCAGTGTACTTAGACCGGTGTACCACAACCTCCGGTCAGCCCTGAACCCATGGCACCCTCCCGGGACGCGCGCATGGTGGTGGTATACGCCATACTATATTTTCCGCCGTCCTGACGCCAGCGCATCCCTGTAAACAGAGGTCTGTGTTCGTGACTCGTAGATTACACAATCATTCCTACTTCCTTTGAAACGCGACTTTGTATCCACCCGTCGGCCTGCAATGCGCAGTCTTGTGAGCCGTCCCTGAATCCGATCTTACTCGGTTTTGGAATGCAAGTCCTAGAACCGGCTTTCCCCGTTCCTGTCGCAATAATTCACAGCATCCGGTTGGTGAACCCGACACACATTCATGCCTCCATTTCTTTTTGCTTCTTGTTATTTTATCGTCAGTTCCACGATCTCTCGGTCTTCATTGTAGGATAATTTGGACCTGAACAAATGCTCTGTTTCTCTCCGCTGTGTCTCGGAAGTAGGGTTCTACAGCCCAAACCAGGAAACACTACCAAATGGAGGTGATCTGACCCCCGCCCGCCGCCACATAGGGTCTCCACACCCCTATGTGGAGCGTAATCGTGTCTGAAACGAGACTGTACGGGCAGGATATACCGGGTCCGCCGCTGTCAACGCCCATTCCCTGTGGCACCGGAATGACAGGGACGCTACATCCCACAAGGGTTACGGAGGTATCCATCAGAATGAAGTCAAGGTGGATCGTCCTACTGCTCTCACAGTTTTCATGCCACATTATAAAGTTGGGAGTGGTTTTCGTCTAGTCTGCCCTAAGCACCTGGATGCATATTTCCGGAAGTCCTCTCGTCTTGATCTCCTCACTTCCTGACATGTCACCCGATGTCATGGTCTCCTCCTATGTCTTATGGCAAGTGATAGAGCTATCCCGTCTCACAAATTATCGAGACTTTGATTTCAGGTCTTCTCTACAATATTTCAGCCTTGTCGTCTCAGGTATGGATCCTTGTGGTCACCAGAGCGCTCACACATACTATTGCATAGTGATGGTGGTGTATGACTGGATGCTCTCGCTCCCTCGAGAAGCACGATTGTTCATAACAGGAACTTCACGGCCCCTCTCAGCATGGCTGTACTTCACAAATAGATATAGCAGCTTGCTTAACTTGATATTTGGCGCAGCGATGCACTATGTCATGTACTATCATTCGCTACCTTCTGAGGTATGTTTCACGTAAATCGCTTCCCGAAACATGTGTTGCTCACTCTGATTCTCTTAGAGGTGTGTGGGCCAGTCACTCAAGACTTTGGCATCATAATTAACGTGGACCCTGACATCACTAGCTGTATTCCTTCCGTCCTGACAAGCGACATCTTGGTGTACCTATCCATCGTTCCCCAGGCAGGTAAATGTCAGATGTACCTCATGAAGTGTTTAACATTAACGTATGACTTGCAGTATTCAATGGCTTGAGGGCATTTGCCCTGAGCCAATCCTGGACTCTATCCTTGATTAGTCTCGCTCTCTCCTTCATGCCTATCGCCACTGGTATGGTCAGTAACCTTCACCGTTCACGCTATTGAGCTGACGTGGTTGAGATGTCAGATAGAGTTCAGGTATCACTTTACTGGAACATATAGCCCGTTCTTCCATCAATGTGCAGTGGTTCTGGATTATCCTCTTCCTCTCGCGCACAAGTATGTCAACCGAAAACTTATACTTCCGCTGAATCTGATATGAGCCATTGCAGACGTATGTACATGAGACGTACCCGAATTCTAGACGGCTCACTTCATCAAGCAGTCATACTAGTCAATCGGACATCTACTATCATCGCCGACATCCTACTGGTCATACTCACTTGGCGCTCACTGAGTGCACGGACCTCTCTGCAAGCGTCCGGTATCATGACGGAGAAGGGTCTGACTGGCGTTATGTTACGAAACGGTTTGTGTACAACGAACTTATACTTGCCTACGGGCTGATTTATTCTAAACAGGGATGCTTTATTTTGTGTGAGTTCGGACGATCCCTGTCAAGATGTCACTGAATTGGCGTGTAACAGTGTGCTTTCAATACTCAACATCTTACTACTGATCCTTGTGCAACGGCCACCGGTGCGTTCCTGTCATGTTACATTCCAAGCCGCGAGCTAACCCTGCTCCAGTTCGAAAACCTGAACACGGACACGATATCAGGGAGCCTGACTCCGTATGTCTCGTATTGTCGTAACGAAGCGGTTTCTCGACTCAACTGATCCCTATCACTTCCAACCAGAGTATCGTCCATCCTAATCTCTCACTTCATGCTCGACCTTCAAGACATCTATCAGAGAAACTCTGGTGATCTACTTTTAGAAGACGCTCTGCATACTTCACTCAGCATCCGCCCTGGTACACTGAGCTTTGTTCGCGCCATGGGCTCGCTTGCCACCCATATAGACTTGCCAGACTCAGACCTTTTGGAGCCAGAGTGGCATGACCTAACGGGGACGAACCAAGCGGTGCTTTCGACGGACTCAGCGATTATGTCCAATAGTTCTGCATGTTACGACTGACTGTCGAGCGAGTAAGTGGAGATGAGCGAGGCAGGCAGGAGCGCCGACGAGCTCTGATCGCAGTGAGACTGGAGCGGAGCTCAACAGGCAGGACTGGAGACAAGTTGTGTATTGAGCGAAGCATCTATAGAGCGAAATACATGATGGCTTACCTGGAGACAAGAGGTCGAAACTAGAGTCTCCAGGTAGCAAGGGATCCAGCTATATACAGGGAACAAACAATGGGCGCTAGAGAACAATAGCGTCGCCATGGGTACGGAGTACAAGGGGTGTAGGACAATAGCGGACGTGGGGACAAAGGGAGCTATTGTCCGTGTGTGGACAAAGGGAAACCGTAGCGAGTAGTGAACAATAAGGAAACGTACGAGGCAGTGGTCCGAATCGAAAAGGAAACGTAGCGCCGTGAGGGCGGTTCGTGACAGTACCCCCCTCCAAAGGATCCTGTCCTCACGATCGAGGCTTTGAAGGAAACTTGGCGTAGAATTTCTTGACCAGCTGAGGGGCGTGCACCAGGTTTTCCGCCGGTTCCCAGCTGTTGTGCTCGTTACCCCAGCCTTTCCAGTGAACGAGGTACTGGAGTTTCTTCCATCGGCCGAAGCGTCTCGAGTCGATAACTTCGTCAACCTCGTATTCTTCCTCCCCCTCCACTTCGAGAGGGGCTGGCTCCGGTGGATGACGGTCTGGGAGATCACTGTGCTGGTGGGGTGTGAGGAGTGAGACATAGAAGACGGGGTGGATTTGCATGTCCTTGGAGAGCACCAGCTCGTAGGCCAGTGGTGCGACCTGTTTCTTGACCACATACGGTCCAGCCTGTTGAACCCGGGGGGCGAAGGCCTCTCCCACGGGTGGCAACGACAGCGGATAGCCTGCAACTCACCTAGAAGGGTTGTTGGTTGTAAGAGGCTTGTTAGAGCGATGAGAGGAGATGTTCGAGTGAACTGAACTGTAGATTGGGGGTACAGAGGTCCCCTATATATACTACTGTACATCTGTGGCTACGTAGTACTATACAGTACACTCCCAGGATGCACAGTCGCACAGAGAAGCAGTGCGTACACAGCGAAGCTGTGTGTGTACCACATGAGTAGTACAGCCTCGGTTATTGCAGTAACCGGCTGTGCCGTTCCATATT